CACTCTATTCTGTTCCATTGGTCTATGTGTCTGTTTTTATGCCAGTACCATACTGTTTTGATTACTGTAGCCTTGTAGTATGATTTGATGTCTGGTAGCTGGTAAAAAGTATAACTATTGCACTGTGTTGTACAGCTGAAACTAATTTTTTTAAAATGTTTATTTCACAATAAAAAAATAATTAGAAGAATAAAAAAAAGAAAAGGGAAAAAAAGAAAAAAAAGAATGTAGGACAGCAGTAGTCTGATTCTTTTTTTCTTTTTTAAATTAAAGTGTATTGGAGTGACAATGGGTAAAGTTACATAGGTTTCAGGTGTACAATTTTATAATACATCATCTATATATCACATTGTGTGTTCACCACCCTGGGTCAGTTCTCCTTCCATCGCCATATATTTAATCCCTTTAAAATTAATAGGATGGTGTTTAAAAAAAGTCTTGTGTCACTGAAAATCACTGATGTCAATCCTATTGTTATACAAGCCTCCCCTCATATATGGCCAGCTCTATTCTAACATTGAGTCCTGGGTAAGCCTGCCCCAGGATGTACCTGCATTACCTGGGAGTGTCTTCTTAATGGGAGCAAAACAAAGAGGTGACTTAAAAGTTGATAAGGCTTTCACTGGGACCACGGGAACCTGCGTGTGGGGGTTAGATACCTTATTTGGTATACTAGCTGTGCATATTAAAGCGAAATGATTTTTAAAAAAACAGCCCGGAAGTGTGCATTCCCTTACTATGCGAGCTGGAAAACTGTAAACCTGGTCCTTGATGATCTGGTCAAACACAGGAGCTTTCATCATAGCAAGTGATTTAATGCTTATGTGCCAACAAAAGGACTTAGTCAGTAATGTCTTCTGCAAAGTAACTTTGTCCTCCTAAGCCAGAGGAAGCAAAGATTGTTTTGAAATATAACCTGAAGTTCCTGCATACTAAGATTTACCAAAAGATGGACTCAAGCTTTGAAGGGGTACAATAGGCATTTCACTGAATTCTGCTAGTAAATAAAGTTGTAAGCGCTTTAGGTACAGGCTGTGGAAATGA